AACAAATAAGATGCTTCATCCAGCAACAGCGTGTCCGTGACACGGTTTAAATGCTGGCAGAGGACGCTGCGGCTGCAGTATATAGTGACTCGTTGCATTCTCCCTCAACCAAAAGTCCTCACGTCATGCATTTCAGCTAAAATGCTAATGTTAACTTACCTTGCACTGGCTGTGGAGACGTGGGTGATCGTCACGCAGATGTGCCATGAGATTTGAAGTGTTGCTGCCTTCTGCAGACACTTGTTTCCTGCACGTTCTGCAAACGGGATAGCCGTCTTCTATTAACTGTCCCTCAGCATTTTTCAGAAATCCCAAATATGCCCATACTTCCGATTTAGTCTTCTTTGAGGGCTGATGGATGTCCTGGGCGCTGCCGTCGCCTCCTTCGGCCATTATTTCAGCTTCAAAGTTTTGGTGCCATTGCAAACTAAAAAGTGCGTGTGCGCGCAGCGGGAACTTCAGCTGAAGCGACGGTGGCTGGTAAGGGTCATCGCGCCGAAACCGCGGCCACGGTAAACCCACCGAGATAATATAGTTTTTTAAAAACTGGACGGTTATTTTTATTGTCAACTTTTTTACCGGGGTTTACCGCTATACCGGTTACCGTGACAACCCTATTTGGCAGCTTTGTAACATATAACCATAAAAATAGAGTTGAAAATAAATGGGAGTGGGTCAAAGTATCTGGGTGACGCCATTTTAGACACCGTGTTTCCTGTTAGCTGGAGCCTGTGAGGACAAAATGCATTTGCTGACTTGTGACAAACGGTTGCGAAACGTTCACCATTCATAAACACTGTTTTACACTTTTACCTCTTCACTCGTTGCCAGTGATGAAAGGGAGTCTGTTGAGCTTGTCATTTTGTTGGAGGTTGCCCTCCCAGGGATCTTTTACCCTGATGGCCATGCGTTGGATAGGTCTTACTTGAACACGAAAATACTGCGTGCGTGCAATGGTTTGGGTATGTACTGCCCCCATCATCAGGGAAAATACACGTTTGTTTTCTCATGCTTTGGAAATCCTCCATTTAAAACTTTTGCCATGTGCCCCTGAAAAAAAGATCAAGACTCCTACAACAATGATGTTTGGACAGATGTGACCAAAGTACAGATGTTTCTCCATAAGTCACAGTGAAAATAAAAGCCACACACACTAAGCACGGTAGTGGAGGAATGATGGTTTGCTGTTGCCACCACTGTTGAGTAGTGCTTCTAAATCCTGGTTCTTGGACCTTCTTCACTGTCCTGCATGTTTTCCTGTATAAAGCCATCACTCTGTACACAGGCTGACACAGTGGGCCAAACATTCACTTTTAAACTCAAAACTATTCTGTATCAACATGAAAAATGAGGAATCCATGTAATTAGAATCTGGTTTTAGATGGAGCTCCATCTGCAAAATCACAAAATACAATAGTGAGTATTATGCTCATCTGAGCATGTTAGCTTATGAATGTCAGAAGATTTCAACACAAGGTATATATATATATATATATATATATATATATTCTTTCTTTCTTTTTTCTTTGCAAGACATTTAGAACTATAGTTCTGAATTCTCAGGCTAAACAATGTCTAAAATATTGGTCCAAATTGTAATTGATCTAAAATGCATTTCAAACCCACATGTGGGACCAGCTGCCATGGTGGGCAGGAGGTGCACACATGAAGGCCAATCATGTACGATTAATGTGAAGCTGTTCAACAATGTTTTGTACCTAACTTGCAGAGGTGGGCAATCAAGTCACATGACTTGGACTTGAGTCAGACTCGAGTCATTATTTTAATGACTTCTGACTTGACTTGAGAAAATCTATAAAGACTTACTGCACGACTTGACTCCGACTTGAACACCAATGACTTGCAACTTGAATCGACTTGCATCTGTTGACTTGATGATGACTTGAGCATTTTTGATATTTCAGCACAAAAGTGGCACGACATGAACAAAACTCATAAATCATTCTTCGTTCTGGGTTTGTTCTTGTACTGCTGAATTCAGCAGCACTTTCTTGCACTTTCTGCTTGTTTGAGCAAATAAATGAAGCTTTAAGAAGCTTTATTTCTGGAATTTGTTTATTATCATTGTCATTAAACTGAAGTTGGACAGATTACTTGATTATGACTTGAAAATTCAAAGTTAAGGACTTGGACTTGACTTGGACTTCCACATCACTGACTTTGGACTCAACTTGAACTTGATTGTCTTTGACTTGGACTTGACTCGAGACTTGACTGGAAAGACTTGTGACTTGCAAAGCAGTGACTTGGTCACACCTCTGCCAACTTGTACATGTAGAAGTGGCGACCAACGCTGCATCGCAAAGATTTCACCTTTCATCAGTAACTGGGAACTGATCGGCAGCTTCATCTGCTCCCTCAACCCATAATTACCAAAATCACGCCTTGACTAGAAGTGCACAGGTGTTTACAGGTACGATAGAAAAAAGGATAATTCAAGCTTTGTTAGATGTCATGAAACTGTCAAGCATCCCTTTAATCACAGTGTTTCTGCTTGAAAGGCAATTTGCACCTGTTAGCGTTTCATGTCGTCACGTAAACCCAGTTGAACATTTACATTACAAACAGCTTCTGGCTGGATCAAACTGATGACACCACCAAAACCTCTGGGTCAGAACCAGCTGAGGATTAGTCCTCAGGCTGCTCCACTCTGACTGCCAGGCCTTTTAATGAGTCCTGAACAGAACCTGTTTTACAGCCATTTTCCCTTTCATTTCCTGCCTGGATGACCCAAACCTCTCCAGAGGGGAGCTTGTAACACATTCCTAATGGAGGCTGGATAAAGCCTCATGCCCTTAATTTGTAGACAGGATGTTTAACCAGACCACCTGGAGGGTCATTAGAAGAAGACCGGGAGGTGTTTCCACGCAGATGCTGCAGCATCAGGACATTAATGTTGACAGGAAGAAACAGCACAGCATCACGCCATAAAGTTTAGTGATGATGTTATTTAGTAAAATGTCTCATAAATTGAACCCAGTTGACTTTACAGTTTTTGAGATGTGGCTCTAACAGATGTATTTGCATCTCACTGATGTTTACAACTACTGTTTGGACTCCATGTTTTAGAAGATTACAATTAAACTTTGCTAACGTTTTTTAATCAGCAGTTTACAGTAATATATTCACCAGTTGAGCTTTATTGACACATATTTGTACAAACTCTCACTGATATACTGAATCCAGCTTTCAAACGCAGCAAAATACACTTACTGTACACCTGACACCAAGTCAAACACCAAGATGATTTTCATCTTTCAGTCTTGGTGGAGTTTTCTATCTCTGAAGTAGTCATTTATTTGGGATTGTTCTTCAAAGTGAAGCCATCTTTCATCTAACAACCGTATCATGATGCTTTTCAAGGACTAAAATTCAGTTTGAGCTTGAAGTTGCAGAACACTGCAGCCCATAACTCTTCTGTATACATAAAGTCCCTACAGTGAAGGAATTAAACTTGAAAAGTCTTCAAGTGGAGCAATGACAGAGGCTTTGAAAGATTGACGCTGCCAGGAGCTTCGTTTTAATGTTTTATTGGCACAGAGTACCAATTTTCAACATACCTCTATTCTCAAGTGGTCATTAAAGCTAAAATTACACCAGTTACAGGCTTATAAACCGCTGTATCGCTACAGCTCAATGACCTGACAACCATTCTTGCCTCCATGGACAAGCCCCCCCTCTCCTGCAGAAGAGGAACACAGATCCAGGACCGCTGAGCCAAAGCTATACTTACCTGAGATAAAGATTACAGTAATCATCAGATTCTCTCTCGTCATACCTGTGCTAGCAGAATCCCCGTACACAGCTGCCGCAGCACAGGTAAGTATAACCCTCCTGCGGCGCAGCACATCTTCATCTCAAATGCGTCGTGCCACTGATGAGCAAGAAAAGATGAAGAAAATGGGACTGGGTCAACTTGTGTTACCATTAAGCTGTGAAACCCAAATGCATCACTGTAAACAACATAGCTCATGTGTGCTGAGTGGAAGCAGCAAGTAGGTTAAAGAAGAACCCGAGAGAAACACTGTCATGAAACTCACAAGGACACAGCAAAGATGGCGTTTTCATAAATAACATTAAAATGGTCAGGACCTGCTGGTTCTTTATTGACTTAAGCCTCATTTACACAGAGTGTGGTAAGGAGGAGGATTGGAATCCGTAGCAACTTCTGCAAAGACCAAAAATCCTTGAGCCCAAACAGAGCATTCACGCAGGCTGTGGTGCGGAACAGATATGGATACGGAGCGGCGAGATCTTTTGTTTTTTTTTTTCTGGATGCTGCACGTGGATCGTCATGAAGGGGAAGATATTACATGAGCCAGACAGGAAGGGAGGCACGTGGCAGCAAGGTGCTGCATCATTTTGTTGGCTTCTTTTGTTATTAATGATGAGTTTGTATAAGATGATGAGTGTGGCTTTTGTTTACCAACTCCTCTATACACAACGGTCCTTCATTAGCTCCTTTCAGTGTGGGCCCCTGTGCCATTCAGTCACGGTTTCAAAGTTTAACCACAGAAACCATGCTGTGGCTTGAGAGTAACCATCCTGATCTTTTGTCGCTCACCTCACAGACCTGAAGGATTCCAGAAAGAATACCTTACTCCACCTGAATGGACCGATCTTCCTGTGGAGCACTTCTGTCTGGGGTCAGTAATTTGAGTTTTCATTATCCAGTCATGACAGATGCACCACCAGAAAACCACTGGGTGTCACGAGCGCAGGTGAAGTGAGCGGAGGTGAGGATCCAATTGCAGGGGAGGAAGGCAGGCAGGCAAACAGACAGGAATGCTTTAGGAAGGTTTCACACACACACACACACACACACACACACACACACACACACACACACACACACACACACACAGAGTTAGTCTCAACATGATGACACGCTGCCATGAAGGACAACACACTTCTCTTTTTACAGTAACAGTAACATTTTTATTGGTTGCTTTCATGCAACAGTCAACTCAAACTCCACATTTCCAAAACACACAGGTCTAAGCAGCAGCACTCGAGGTCAAAGCAACACCTTTTGTTTTTCAAAATGCTCTAACTGTGCCAAAACATTTAACATGTGACAAAAAGCAAATCTTTCCTTCAAACAACACATGTTGCAATGAGCTCTTCCATTCAGCCATTACACAACGGACAACGAAATACCAAACACAGAACTCAGTGTGAGTCAGAGCACCATTGTATCCTGTCACAAAGCTTTTATAGCGGTGCCATTTATCATCTTTCTACACAGAATCAAGACTCAAAAATGCTTTGAGGCAGTTTTTATTGATTCCATTCTTTTTTGCAAACTGCGTGTCACAACCACATTTTCCAGCACCCCTCCAGCCGCAGATCGGCCAACAGGAACTCCATCCCCCATCAACCTCAGTGCGCCACGCAGCAACCACATTGTCACCCCTAGAACCAATCAGTCTCCACTCAGTCGTTGTTTTAATTTAGCATCCAAGCTCTCCCAGCCAACCTTCTCCTGACCAGTGAGTCAGCATTATTTTCTTCCCAGAACATCTATGCGCTCCCGTTTCCCTTCACGAGCTGTTCAGGTGTTCCTAGAATCCTCTTCTGCATCTGGGTCACATTGCACGCTACGGCTGAACTCCTTGCTCATTCAGTTTGTTATAGTGAACCTGACACTGTGTAAAAACTGAAATACAGTATTTATCACAGACAATATACCAAACCTCTGCCACAGTGTAAGAAATTAGGAAATGAAATATTTGACAGTAGACAATAAGTCCTGCAGACTGGTTTCTAATTTGTGCAGCTATCATCCATCCATTCAGTAACCTCCAGAACGTTTCACCAGGACAATTATTAGTACAAATTTAAATTTTAGTTGTATAAGGAACCTGTGGGTGTGTTTCTACTCCCTCCTTGTTCTGCTCTACAGATCCAAATAAACACAAATACGAGGATGATTAGTAATTTGGTCCAGAGGTTCCCTAAATCACTGATAACATGTCTGTATGTTCCTGAAACACACAAAACACATTTTCACAGTCAGACCTCCAGTTTTACTGCATTTTACACTTTTCTTTGAGATGATACCTCTCTTCCTGTCGTTTGTTTTTCCAGAGAACAAAGCATCTCCTCTGTGCTTCACGAGGTCATTGTATTGGAGTCGCAGTCCCTCTTCGGGTCACGGGCCAGTCCACTTCACGCTGAGGCCCTCATGTGACTGAAGCCTGTTGTTTTGGGGTCCAGCAGCGCTGGTCCTCGAGTACTGAAATGGTGACAACTGGATGTGTAAGAAAGGAACAAAAAGACCACATGCCAAGTGCTGTTCACTTCTCATTTATTAATGGTTGCCATGCCAACTCCAAAGCAGCATAATATTATTTTCTGATCACATTTATTCTGGTGTTTCTGGCTCGTCAGTCTGAGGCTGATTGTGCAGCAGCGTGTGGATCATCTGCTGGCTAACAGGCCCAGAATATCAGCCATGGCTCTGGAATGACTTCAGCTTTACTCTCTGATCACAACAGCATGTGGGTGTGAGTTATGAGCTCAGCTCAAAAAGAACTGAAGACAACAGGAAGATCTGGCCTATGGAAGTATTACACCATACCTTTTCCTTGGAGCAGAATCCGACCACGTTGGCTTCACTTGCCTTAAGTTCTCCTAATATGTGGTTTGAAATGTCTGAGCTGGACACCGGCCCTTCTGCTTTGACCACTTGTGGGTGTGAACAGGCGTCAGTTGACTGCACTGATAACACCTGCCGTGACCATGGACACATAAAACTGACACAGGATGGGTTGACATGTGCTATTCATCTCTCCTGACACGTGTAACCACACGTGCTGCTCTCCTGCTCATGATATAGTGCTATAATTGTAGACATTTAACTCCACCACAGAGCTTTTGTCTGAAGCTTCCGAGCTGCAAACTCTCAGCTGAAACAATCTCTTTTCTCCCTCTCTTGTTCCCTTTGTGCCAACAACCAGAATCTTTTATTTGACCTGTTGCTAAATCTTCCTCCTTGCTTTCAGTTGTGTGACTCCGTTGTGAGCCAGGTTTACAGAGATGCTAGTACTCTAATTCTGCTTCTTATGAGGCATGACTACCATGACCCTGAGCAGTGACTAAACCAGCATGTCCCTTCCTACAACAGGAAATTCCGTCACCCGCAATTTGCCAACCGATACAGAGCCCCTGGCTCCAATCACTGACCATCATCTTTGCAGATTGAGTTCTGTTAAACATGGCAGAAGAGAGAGAGTTTATAACGGCGTGTAGGTAATCCCGCAAGAGCTGCAACACAAAAGCCAGCGGAGCCAGCTGTGTCAGCAAAAGCATTTTTAAGTGAGAAATAGTTGGATTTATGCAGCAGCAAAATGATTTCAGGTTTCAAAGACAAGCTTCCCTTTCTTAGCTTTTAGTGTCTGCTAATTCACACGGACAGTACTTGGAAGAACTTTTTTTCGCAGTTCATCTCTGTTTCCTGTGATTAGTAAGCTCGTATCATACATTTATTCAGTGATCCCTCGCATATCTGATACATTTCTATTAGAAAAATAAATAACACATTTTAAAATATTTAGGTTACCTTCACTCAAAAGGTGTATTTTCTTTCATTCTTGCAGAATAAAGATGATTTAAAGGTCAATTTCACTGAATTTTTTTAAAATCTCATCTTCTTCCATCTATCTGGGTCCGGGTCGTGGAGGCAGCATCCCAACTAGGGACATCCAGTTGGGAAGGTCCAAGACTCTCCCCGGCCACTTCCACCAGCTCCTCCAGTAGGACCTCAAGGCGTTCCTGGGACAGTTCGGAGATACTTTCTTCAACGTTTCCTGGGTCGACCAGGGGGCATCCTGCCAGCAGGACAAGCCCAAAACACCTCCCTGGAGAGGCGTCCAGGAGGCATCCTAACAAGATGCCCAAACCATCTCAACTGACTCCTCTTTATATGGAGGAGCAAATCGCTCTCAAATGGACATGCATGTACTGTATGAACATGCTGTCACGACGCGCTGGTGAGTGGAGCGGAGGTGAGGATCCAAATGCTGGGGAGGGATCAGGCAGGCAGACAAACTGGAAAACTTAAAAGGTTTTTAATGATCACAGGACATGGAAACAATGAGGCAACAAGAGACACAGAACTGGAGGGGTTTAAATACAGGAGGGCTGGGAGCTTGGGTGATTGGGAAACAAGAGGCAGGTGGGAGCAATCAACAGAGACACAGGCTGAACCAAATGGGGAGACAGGACAGGGTGTGACACATGCCTGCTTGTATGTTGTGTGATGTCAACATGCACAGACTTTGTGAAATTTATCTAACTCATTCACGTTTTGTGCATAATTACAGTGAAACATGAACAAGGCTGCAAGAGAAAGCGTTTCAGTTGTATCAATAGGAAAAAAACCACCTCCTGTAATATTTTAGAAGTTTGATCCTATTTACTTTTGTTGTTGTTGTTGTTAAAGGCAAATAAAATGAAAGGTTTATCATGGTGGGAATGATTCTCTAAATTCTTCATGTGAACTGTAATTCTTTCTTTAATGATGTGATGCCTTCCAGGAGCAGCGGGTAAAGTAAAAATGGTGCAAAAATTAAAAGAAGAAATTCTAAACTTTCCATTGTGTGATCTCGTTTATTCTCTGTGCTGCTTCACTGGAACGACTGAGTGAGTGAGGAAAGAACACATGCTCACAGTTGCCTGTGAACTCTGGGAAAAACACAGCCTCATAAATGCTAACTTACTAAGATCACTTCCTAAGAGTAAAGAGAATTAATGGGGCTGACTGGGATGCAGCTTTCCTAGGTTCTGCAGCCAGAAGGCAAGATGGATGAGGAGGGCTTCTCCAGCCAACAGTACACAATGACCGGAATGTTGAAGGAAATCTTTGAATACACATTTGTTACACTTTTAGTGCATCATAACACTTGTGTCTTCCCCCAAAGCTTTTTCAGATACAAAATGATCTGAATCAAACAGATGAAGCCCAAATCTGTTGAGAGCAGCATCTGAGACAGAATGAATCATCTGCAGCTTGCATGGGCTTGTTTCACCCTTCTGCTGTGACACTCTAATATGTTCCTAGGAGGAAAGTGAGCACATATCCTCAGCAGGCTGGGGCTGAAAAAAAGAGCAAAAGAAAGTGGTGTCAAATTAAGAGGAGTTTGGGGTTAAGAAAGGGCCAAACTCAGGTTTGAGCCAAAACCCTCAGGTGCTGAGGTGCAGCTGTCTCTCTGGGCTTTGAAAACAAGAAGAAACAGGAAGACGAAGGCTGCTTACCATCACAAAGAAACAAATGAGAGGCTAACTATCCAAAAATAATAAAAACACCCAGACAAAAATTAGCCTTGATTTTATCTTGGATTCTTATCTAGGTGCTGTTATAGATGATCCTAAACAATCCAGAACAGCAAAAGAGTAAAGGTTTCAGGCATTCAGAACATACATGATATTACATTGTTTATATTGCCGTACACAGAGGCAATAGCTTGGATTTTTTATTGAAAAGGTGGCATTGTTGCGTTCTGCACTGTCAAGAGCAAATATGCAAACTCCCTCATTTACTTTGGATAGACATTTAGAGTCTTTTCAGCCAGTATCCCTTGATGACTTAGTTAAGTTGGTGGACGTAATTAAACCGAGAGGATCTCCTGAAGACATCATACCACCACGGCTGTTCAATGGTCTTTCATGGAATAGCACCATTAATACTGAAAGTTATTAATAGCAGTTTGGTCTCTGGCTATGTCCCAAATGATTTTAAAAAGACGGTTATTAACCCACTGTTAAAGAGATCGGGGTTAGATGGTATGCAGCCTTGCAACTACCGGCCGATTGCAAAGCTCCCTTTTCTGAGTAAAATTCTGGAAAAATGTGTCTATACTCAGTTAAAGGATTTCCTAGAAGAGTCTAACATTAAGGAAACTTTTCAGTCTGGCTTTAAAGCTTTTCATAGTACGGAAACGGCACTGATAAAGGTATTAAAGGACATTATGTTGGAAACTGATTGGGGAAATCCTGTGCTACTTGTCTAGTTGGACCTTACAGCTGCGTTCGACACTGTGGACCACGAAGTGTTGCTCCATCGTTTGGAGTATAATGTCGGAATCTCTGGTCTGGCCTTAGACTGGTTCAGATCTTATTTGAAGGATAGGACTGTAAGTGTAAGGATGGGTGGGTTTAGTTCTGGATTCACACACCTGCAGTGGGGGGTCCCGCAGGGTTCAATATTAGGACCACTGTTGTTTTTGATTTACATAATGCCACTGGGGGACATCATGAGGAAGTATGGAATTCGATTTCATATGTATGCTGACGATTGCCAACTTTACTTACCCTTGGATTATAGAAGCGACTGTTCCATTATTACCTTAATGCACTGTCAAACTGAAGTTACTGTAAGTCATGGTTGACGGACAATTTTTTGAAAGCAAAACTGAGGCAGTGCTGTTTGGGTTACATCGTGATTTAGAGCGATCAAAACTAGATTGTAGGGATATGAATGCCTACCTACGTTCTTCGGCAAGCAACTTAGGAGTGACATTAGATAACACTTTCATCTTTGATGCACATGTGGGTGCGGTTGTATCGTCCTCTTTTTACCACTTGCGACGTCTGGCCAAAGTGAAGTAATTTTTAACTAGAAAGGACCTCGAGACTGTTGTGCATGCGTTTATCACCTCTCTTTTAGACTGCTGTAACTCTGTCTTAATTGGGATGAGACAGAGTACAGTAGCTCGTCTGCAGCTTGTGCAAAACACCGCGGCAAGATTCCTAGAAGGGAAAAGGAAATATGATCATGTGACACCCATCCTGGCAGATCTACACTGGTTACCGGTCGCTTTTAGAGAGCGTTTTAAAATTCTTTTATTGGTTTTTAAGGCACTGAATGGGATGGCACCAGACTATTTATCTGACTTGCTACAGCCATATATACCTAGTCGTTCGCTCCGCTCAGAGAGTCACCATAAGCTTCTAGTCCCTGCAACTAGGCTCAAAACAAGAGGAGACAGGGCTTTCTCGGTAGCAGGCCCAAAATTATGGAATGATCTTCCATTATCTGTGCGACTCTCCACGTCAGTAGAGGTTTTTAAGAAGGCGCTGAAGACCCATTATTATAATCTGGCTTTTAAATCTGTGTGTTAACGGATGTTTTGTATTTTGCTGTTTTTAATTTTTTATTAGGTTCCTATATATTCTTTGTTTTTATCTTTTTAGTTTAGTCTTGTACAGCACCTTGGTGACATGATATATGTCTGTAAGGTGCTTTTATAAATAAAGGTGATGATGATGATGATGATGAATTCAATGTTTATTTAAGGGGACTGCCTCTAAAAACACTCCAAGCACAAAAAATGTCCCAGGAAAAATTGGTTTTCAGTCAGTGTTTGGTTGAGCAGATATGTGTCTAAAACTATGATGGTCCAATCAGGATCACCAACATGGAATGCCTGTAAACATTTCTATGGATTTATGATGATTGCCACTGACCACATGATCTGGAAAACAAATGCCATCAACTTCATTTAGACTTTGTTAGCTGTAGAAGGGAGGATTACCGAGTTTTGGTGCCATGTCACTCCCTTCAGCAGCGGCGACCCTGAGATCAGAGATCTGTGAATCGGCCACTTCAGCCTCCTGGACACAGTCGAGTGAGGTGGGAACAACTGCTAGATGAAGGGAGCCAGCTGCTCCCATCTCCCAGCGCATCCGAACTACACAATCTCCCAGCTTTGCCCAGCTCCCATGTGAGGCTGTAGTCATCCTTACAGCAGTAGCTCAGGAGGTAGAGAGGGTTGTCCAGTAATCAGAAGGTTACAAGTTGGATCTCGGCTCATACCAGAGAATGCTGCTGTTGTGTCCTTGGGCAAGGCACTTAACCTGCCTTGCCTGCTGCTGGTGGTTGGAGGGACCGGTGGTGCCAGTGTTCGGCAGGCTTCGCCTCTGTCAGTGTGCCCCAGGGCAGCTGTGGTTACATTGTAGCTCATCCCCACCAGCGTGCCAATGTGTAAATGACTGTGATGTAAAGCGACTTGGGGGGTTCAAGTTAGCTTGTAACTACATTGGTTCAGGGTTTGATGTGTGTCAATCATTTACTCCCACGCTCACAGCCCCACTCTCAGCTTCATTTTTTTGCCCATTTTTGGATTTGGGAGTAGTGATGACACGAGCTACATAGCCAAGATGGTGGTTGTGGGAACAGTCCATTTAGCTTTAAAAAAGACCACAGAAAGCTATGGGTGGGGGTTGTCCAGTATTGGGCAGTCATTGGTCCTCACATGCAGAAGAATTATATCAAAGGAAAGATTCAGTAGAAGCATTAAGGAAGTCTTAGCCAATCAGACAGCTGGGAGTTTCTTGCCTTGTGAACAGAAGACAGGCTAAGAGACATGCTGTAACAGCAGGCCAAGTTAAACACACACTACTAGAACCATTAACAAACTAATAATTAAATTCATTAACTAATTTGAATGCCTAGGTGAATTACATCGCCATGGTAA